AAATTATCAATTATTCATTTTAATCATTTTAATCCTTATTTACACTTTCAGTTTCTCACACTAGAGAAACTATTTGGTATTTACACGTGTGTCCTATTTACTTCACTTAAGAGTATGGTGGTCAAATATTTTTTATGGATGGTTGGTTAAGTCCATGGATATGGAACCTACAAAAGCCAGAACGTACAGATGCAGGAATCAAAAGAGATGGCAGGCTGACTGTGTTCTATTCTCATGCGCAGTGCTGCTTTGAGAACTTGGCTTTGGGCCCCAAAAAGACCGATGAGTCTTGATTTTATTTGTAGGTTGAAACTGTTGGAAAAAGTAATTTTAGTCATCTTGCTTCAGTATGGAAAGATTATACTTAAATATAGTCAGTGCAGAGGAAAATAAGACTTAACAACAGAGAAAAATCAAGCCTTGATGATATTATTTGTGGCTCCAGATTTGGTTAGCCCCAAGCTGCTTCTCCTTTAGTTTCAATTAGTTTGAAGAGTACTCCACCCTGCCCCATCCCCGCCACTCTGTTTCTGCTTAAAATAATTCCAGTTGGATTTCTGTCACTTGGAAACCAAGCACATTAAATTCAGCTTGACTGGGAAGGTGAAATCAGAATGGTCATTCATCAAGTAGGAAGAATAAACAGACATAAGTGAAGACCACTCTGCAAAGTTAGACGAAAACATTCTCACAAGGTCACATAAGAGCTCTAAGATGTCATAATAACCCCTTTCTTGAGTGAATGTGTCTGTTTGAAATTCTGTCAGTAAGAATAAAACCTCTCACTCTCATGTGCAGAATTTAAGTCACTTTGACACAGAGAGGCAGGCTTGATTCACTCCCCAGAATCAGTGCTTCCAATGAGGATTTCTGCAAGCAGCATTCACCAACCTTTACGCTGTAGCACAAATGAAGCAGAATTTTGAGTCTGCTTTACAGTCCAGATCTGATTTGGCCCATTTGCACAGTCCCTTTGAGTCTATCAAAATATTGTTTTGTTTACATTTCCACTTGCAATACTCTTGTACATAGCAATTTATGTTTTCTGTTGGTGACTACAAGTAGTTGCTAGTGGTTTTAGGTTGAGTAGTCTTAGAAAACAAATGCGTTTTTAATTACCATATTACAGCCTTCTTCCCTACAATAATTTCTCTACTCAAGTTTATTTCGTAAATAAAGATCTGGTCATTTTTTCACACCTCAAGTCAATTTATGTTGAAGTTTAGATTTTGAAGCAAATGTTTTAAAATTGACCTCCATAATTCAGCTACTCAAAGAAGGGTCCCCAAGTAACATTACATCATTGGGAACTTGTTTTAAAGAATCTGGAGCTCTATCCCTAACTTGTTGAATCAGAATTGACTTAATTGAGATCACCAGGTAATTGTATGCACAGTAAAGTTTGAAAAGTACTGCTCTATGGAGTCACAGGAGTTTTCATAGGGCTCCTTTGAGGCAGGTAAAGGGAACACAAAGCTGTTGGGCTTTCCCTTATGAAAGCCATCTTGTAACACTGCTTTGTGAATTTCACTTGTCTGTAAATTCTTATAAAAGTAAACAAAAATTTAAGTAACTTCTATTTCAAGCCACATTAATACTTCATTGTGAATGAACTCATTAAATCATGTGCCAGAAAACAAGTTTTGTTTGGATCAGGTAAAGAAGAATCCTGCTAAGGAAAAGCTAGGAACCTGAACATAAATTCAATATTTTTATCATTTTCCCATCTGTATGGAGAGAGCTTTTGGCAGAAGCATCTGATTCTTTTAGACAACCTGCACCATAGGTCTTCAAATGAACCTGGATAACAGAATCAGGAGGGAGTCTCTCAGAGGTCTATTTGTATACACAGCAAGGAACCTACTAGAAAACTGTCTTGAAAGTGGATTAGTTTGCTAAAGGGGCTGTGGGAAGGTGAAGCCTAGTTCTGGGGGCTAGATGGCTAGGGGTGCTACCTGGAAGGATATAGCTTTATCCTTCCTCCCTTGATCTTTCTTTCTGCTTCCTGCTGCTGTGTTATAAGCTGTTTTTCCTCTGCCCTGCCACCCTGCCTTGGAGATAGCTGACCATAGACTGAAACCTCTACAAACTGTGAGCCAAAAGAAATCTTTCCTTCTTTAAATTCTGGGTGTTGAGTAATCTGTCTCAGCAATGATAAAATAACTAAGACAAATGGGCATGGAAACGAAAGAACACCAGCAGCCAATAGTCGGAAGAGGACACGGAAGTTTACATTAAGTCTATAGGAAACATCATCTGAGTACTAAGGAGAGTGTGGAGGAGAGAGATAGTCTTCCAAAGGGGTGTGAGAGCAGAGGTCTTTGGGGGAAGCAGAAGGAATCTGTGGAATTGTAGTGACCATAATTTTGCAACACCTCATGTATCCATAAGGAAATGAGGGATGAGAAAATTTAACAAAATATTTTGCTGAAATTCAAAATGTAATTTCCTATTCCATGCTTTTTCACCTCTTTTTAAGTAGATTCATTATAAACCAAACTTCTGTGGATGAATATTCTTCACATAAATTTATGTGACTTTACAGTTGAGAGAGAGTATTTCTAACCTTGGAGAGACCACTGTGCACTGTATTCCCACCCCACAATTCTCTCATGTTCTCAGTATTTCTCCAAGAAATATAAGAAGTAAAGGATACAGTCATATTAGTTTTTTTTAACACTCATCACTACCTAACAGTTCTTAACACCTGCATGGTCTTTATCAGGCACTTGTCCACAGTTTGATTAGGACACAACCAGATGCAATTTCATTTCATTGTTTTCAAACATGTTTTAATACTTGATGTGCCCTGGGAATACAAAAATAGCTGAGATGTGCCTCTCACCATCAATGTTTTAAGTTAAAGATTTTTGTTGTTCAAAATGAAAGAACACAGTTTAATAATATCTGAGTGGTGGTTATATTGAAACAAAAGACTTTTGTTTAATTATTTCTCTGAAAACCTCAGAAGTTCAAACTTCATGTCCCTATGAGTAGAAAAGGGTTTGTGGAGAATAAGAATCTGAAAGGTGTGCAAAAATACTGCCAGCATTGGGACTCTTGACAACTCTTCTTGTCCCTTATGAAAGTAAGGCCCACTTTCTACAATTTTAATGTAGTTTGAAAGTGCTTCTCCTTGGCCTAATAACTCCAGATGTTTCCAGGAAGTTTCTATTCACAGGACTTAAGGTTAAACATGGTAGCTTCATGACAGTTAGGTTCACTTCCCTCTACATAATTCCAGTGTGAACATTATTATGGTTTAATACTGGGGACATATATTGAACCCCATGTTGAGAGTCAATGTTGAAATCTGCCATGACATAGAATTTCTTTCCACCTAAAAAGGAGGTTTCCTTCAGTTCTAGATTATGTTGTTACTCTGTTGATCCAGGCAGCATCCTCTTTACCTCATGGAGTCTGCTTACCTGAAATGTCGATGTCTACTTTTTAATATCTCAGCATGGCCTGCTACTCCTTCGGATTGAAAGCAGTTTCATCTGAATTCTGAGGATGAGGAGATGAAGAAGGGATAGAAACTCTGATTTTGCTGTTCAGAGCTACAGGTAGGAAATGGCAGCCACACTTGCACAGCGAGCCGTATACACAATGGCAGAGTTTAAGCCAAGAAATGAGAAGGAATCCATTTTTTATTACCTGTTGCCAACACTAACTTGTTTCCAATTACATAGTTTTAGAAATTTCACCTTTCTTCTCAGGCTTTTAGGAATACCTCATTTGAACAATTTATTATCTGGAGATATTACTTTGAAAAGGCTACTGAAAATAAATACTTATTTTGTTTTGTTTTTTTGTACCAGGGATCGAACTCGGGGCCTTGCACTTGGAGAGTCAGGTGGTGGAACCACTGAGCTAAACCTCCGGCCCTAATAAATACTTATTTACTTCTCTTAAGGAGAGAAGTAGTAATAATGTTAGATCTACTAAGACATCACTGAAAAAGATGTACTTCATCCATTTTTCTAAGTCACTCTTTAGAAATGTTTTGTGCTTCACAGCAAGCCTGCCACACAGTAATGGCAAATGTTTGCTGAATGAAATTATAGAAATCTGATGTTAGGACACAAAGATATAATCAGGTTAACATTATTTCCAGACATATAGTTATTCATAAGTTTAAAAATCATTATGGCTTTTTAATTTAAATCATTGAATGTCACGTAGAAGCTTTTGGGGACCTTATGTCCAAGTTCAATGCCAAAGATAATCTTGAACCATTTTAAATTTGCTACAGTCTTTATAATATTGGGAAATGCTTAAATTTTATGTTAAAGCATGATTTGAACTCCAGCAGATAGGATTTATTTGGTGCAATAAAAGGCAATTTCACTTCTGAAATAATGTCTCAAGCATCATCAGTCCAGGGATGACTCAGAAAAAGGAGATTTTCTTCACCCTAACATTTAACTTGGGATGGTATTTTGTAATAATAATATAGTATGTTAGCACAGAACTGTTACACTGATATTAGCCTTATTTGTGATAGTAGCAAAAGCTAGGTATATCAGACATCAGAGATAGCTAACTTTGATATATTTAAAGCACTAATGGCATTGATTTTACTGGTCAAACATATATTTGTCATGGAGGAATCCCTAATATGATGATTCATGTTTTTAAAAAAGGATTTTCTTTTTAGATGTTCTGAATCATGTCCAATTTAAAAGATCCATTTGGGGGCTCATAAGGAAGCATAGATGAATAGGAACTGGAAAAAAACCCATAAAAATACTTGCTACTAGGACTTTATTAGGCATTTCACTGGATACAAAGAAACTTTTTACATAAAGAACACAATCTTATCAAAAAATTCATATTTTCTATACAGACTGTAGGCATGCATTTCCTTTATACTTACTAAAGTATCATTGACCAGATCCTAAAAAAAGAAGGCACAAATCTATCTCCTTCTGGTGAATTTCTGGTATCTAATGAAGGAAATGTCACTAGTTTTTGCAAATTCTCATCTTCTAGAAATGAAGCAAATCAACACAAATTTGTGCAGGAATCGTGAGTGGGAAATATTTTATCAAGGGATTTTGGTATTCCTACACCACTCATAAGAATTTCAAGAGAAGAGGTAGCTTCCAAAAATGTTTCAAAACTCCATGCACCATTCAGGCCATATCAAGGACTCAGTGCTGGGAACAGCAGTATGTGAATTTTAGGTCAGAGATTCCAACATGGTTGTGTTCTCTGCAAATAGTTCTAAAATGCACCATTAGATCTCATTGTTATTATACTGGGGCTTCCAATACCGAAAAAATAAAAAAATAAAAGTTACTAATTATCATTTGCTTTAGGAAGTCTGTCAGGTATTAGTTTCATGTCAGGGACCCCGTTCAGTCCCCACTCCTCCCCCTGCTGTTCTGAGTAGGAACTGACAGGGCTATACCTATACCCAGACTCCTCATAGTGAAGTCTTCCTTTTTATGTCAAACTTTCCACAGTGACATAGATGACTACTTTTAACAAGAATATTTTGTGACGAAGTGTTAATGGTGGGAGGGGGGTAATGGAGTAGTTTATCTCTCTGAAAGAAAACAAAACTAAAATTTGAAAGAGGTCCTGGTACTGGTTTAGAAGGTACTATCACTTTCCAGGAATATCTTTCATGTATGAGCATGTTTCTGGTTGTTCCAATTACTAGGGAATGTTACTTTAAAAATTAATGAAGAGGGCCGGGGATTTAGCTCAGTGGTTTCGCCGCCTGCTGCGCAAGCGCAAGGACCCGAGTTTGATTCCCGGTACAAAAAAAAAAAAAAAAAATAATGAAGAGACTCTGGGCCTCAAAACAGGCCACTGAAGGGAAATTTTCAATGTGGTAGAATTAATCTAATGAAGATTCTTGCTTGATTATTCCACCTGTTTTTCAGTTGGTTCTTCATAAAAAATTTGTAGGAACTAGCATGGACCAATATTTTCCTTCATAAAGGGTATTAGGACTGTAGATTTGCATGAAGCATATCAACATAGAAATATAAAAGCGGAGGTAGATCTTACTCTTATATGTAGCCCAGCTGAAAAAAGATAAAGAGGACATACGAGTTTCCAGATTTAGAGAAAAATACAGGATATATTGATTTACATTTGAATTTTATATGAACAATGGCATTCTTAGTGTGTGTTTGATGAAATAGAAAAAGAATTATCTAAAACTATAATTTATCTGAAATTTGAATTTCACTGGTGTCCTGTATTGTATTTGGTAACCTTAACTTAGAAAAAGAAATATTTAAAGATTTGGAAAGTAAGAAGCCCAAAGAAAATTACAGAATTTTTACTTCAAACATGATCACCTGTGTAAATTCTGGAATTAGTCATGAGTTTTCTATTGTTACACTGCACATGGGGCAGGCAGAAAAAGTGTGAGTTCCTCATATTTGGTTTTGAAAAGGGAGCCATGTTGGAACTACCTCGTGCGGATGGAGCTTCTCTGACACTCACAGAACCAAGGTGGTTCATCTTCAGAAGACTCAGTTCTCCAAAGTGAGGCTTTGGAGGAAGTATTTTTCATGGAGAACTTATCACTGAAGCCAAAAAACACCACGTTTATCATTACAGAGCTCCATCTTGGAAAGAACAACCTTAGCAGTGCTGTGTTTCTGTTGCTGATGGAAACAAACACGAATTTAGTCTATTTGCATGGTGATAAAATTAATAATTGATATTTGATAATTTTGAAAAGCATAGGTGTTCCACAAGCTGTACAATTTGTTTGTAGGAACTCAGATGAGTTCTAAAGCATATACCTCATAAGATTTTTTTAAAGCCATCTTTAACAAAAACGCAATTTCTGTATGTATTTTAAATCCAAATTGTAGCAACAATAACTAAAAGTGACAATGAATTAAGGCCAGTCATAATGTGCCCTTTTTCTTTAGAATAAGTTTAATTTTTGATAAGATACAATACACTTACACATACCACTGACAAGCACAGTTTTGACTCATACAAATACACATTTAGAACTAATAACTACAAAATAGCATCACAAGTAAAATAAAAATTACACAATTTTCAACAGATTAAACCAACACCTTTTACAAATTCTACACATTTTATCATTGTCATTGGGAAAACAATTTGGAGTATTATTTAAAACTGTATGTAACACAGGAGCCACCAGTAAGTTATGGCAAATACAGCATTTACACCACAGTGTCACTGAAATCTAATTGAAAAGACTAAAGTGCTGTAAAATAAAATTCTTTAAAAATCTTATTTACCATATCCTGAGGGATGCTTTGCATTATTTTCTCTTAGCAATTAAAAATATGAACACTCTGCCGAGGGAGTTCCTGCTTGGTTGAGCAACCAAAGGTTAGAAGACCATATCATCGAATATTTGTAAAACTGTAGAACCAAAAACTCATGAAAACATGCATTTCCTGAGCCTTCCAACTTTCCAGTCTGGAATCTTAATGGGAAAACTTGAACACATAACCCTGCCCCAAAACATGGCAGAGCCTCAAAGGACTTAAACATTTTTAAGTGAACTTACATATGTGTTTATAATTTGTTCAAGTCTGCCTTAGATTCTCTAGAGGAATGTAATTGATAATGTAATTAGATTATTATCAAGCATTTCCTATTTCTGATGGTCCCACTTTTCACTGGTTTTCTAGCGATTTTTTCCCCTCAGATATTTGAATACTTGACTTATTTTTATGCCTACTAAAATAGAATATGCTGGTTTTAAGAGCTAAAGTTACAAAAAAATCAGAATCAAGTTGGATGATTAGGTGCAATTTAAACTTGAATAGTGTGTGTGTGTGTGTGTGTGTGTGTGTGTATGTGTGGTGCATCATGCCAAACACTTTATGCTCTAATACATTCACTGTTAGGTGGCGCTCCATGAAAAGTGAGTTTTCCCAATATGGCTGAAAGTGAATATTGAGGTCATCGTATAGAATATCCTAAGGCTTTTAAAGGATGCCTCCTCATTCTCTATGTTCATGTGATTATGTAGTAATAAGAGAGACATAAATGATAATGGCAGGAGACGATTTTACCATATAGGTCCTTCAAAGTTACTGACAGGAAAACAAACTTGAATACAGGATGTCCTTTACTTATTTTTCCTCATTTCACCCACTTCTTTGATTTCCTGCTGCAGATTGGGTAAAGGCTATCTATATTTTACTTTTTTGCCTTGTAGGACTTATGACATAAAGTCTTAAGAAATGAGCAAAACAAAAAAGTACACCAAGATGCATCTACTGTCATCTTGGGACCTATTTGTAGCCCTTGTGCTCCTAAATCTGGAAAAACAATGCCCAGCCAAGACAAAGGATCTTAGGTTAAGGGCAAGTTTTGATTGCATATCACCATTTCTCATCTCCATTTCTTGATGTAAGGCTCACAGTCCACTTCTTAAGTGTGCCCTCTGGCAGGGCCAGTGAACAGAAGACAGTCAAGGGGAATCTGTTAACATTTCCCTTTTCAAACAATCTCTTTTGGTGAATGTTCTCATGGTTCCTGTCTACCTCTGCCCTCCTTTAGAGATTAAGGCGAATCTATTTTCTCTCAGTGTCTGCTGTGTAGGCACTGTACATCCACATGGAAACCATACAGTAGATTTTGTCTAACAGAGTCTCTGTCTGCATATCATTAATGGCTATAAAAGCTTTCCCAAGTTAAGAAACTGCACAGTCTAATGCTTCACCATGTTTGTTCCTTACAGCACCCAAATGACAAGTATAACACAGTTCTAAGCAAATGTTATAGGAAAGCATCTAATTTCAAGGACATACCAAATAGTTACCGCTATATTGTATTCATTTTTCAGGAATAGGTTGAAAAATCTGCTTGTGTCATATTTATAAGTTAAATTCTTATGCCATTATAAGTATGCTTGGCCAAAGATCCTCCTGAGGGGTGAAAATAAATAGAGAGAAAATCTGCACCCAAAAGTAAATTTATAGAGCATAAATTTCAATAAATCCATAATCTTTTTAAAAGGATTCATTTTCAGTTACATGTAAAGAGCAGGTAAAAGAGATAAACAATATAAATACAAGGCAAGGAAAAATGGAAAGAAAAAATAATTATATTTTGTGAATATTTAAGACCAAAGCTACAATATTTTTATGAAAATATTTTAGTGTAATCAGTGATTCCCATTTTCAATAACTCTTATCACCTTCTTGTACATTTTGAAGGGGCTCAATATGACAATATTTAATATTATTTTCATTTGAAAAGAATTGTATTATATCTGTCTATATGTTTGTGTTTGTGTATATTCATGTCTGACTATATAGGTGTGGCTATATGTTTTCATTGTTTATGAGAAATATATATAACACAACTGCAATGTATAAACCTATCTGTTGTGTGTGTTCTCATGGCACCTCGTCTACACATATATTACACTTTTCATGAAACTTATCTTCATTATAAACAATTTGTATTCTGCAGTTGCTAGTAAGTGCTATTTTCAGAAAATGAGTATCTGTATTGTTGAAGATATGGGGATACTTTTATTTCTCTATGGTCCCAATTTGCATAGAACTGTATTTTCCAGTAAACTATTGGAAGGTGATTATTCTTAACTATAGGGATAAAATGACACATGAAAATTTCAGCAAATTTTATAGATTTTTTATAAATGTCCCACAACATTCATGCGAGGAACATAGGTAAGGGAGGTATTGTGCTCTTTCCAAGACTGTTTTAGAGCGATCCAATATAAAGACACCTATGGGAATGCAACACTCAAGACTGTTATCATTGTTCTTTCCTGTAGAACAGGATTATCAAAAGTTAGGCCACAGAAACTTCGTATGAGACTTTTGTCTTCTGCTTTAATCTTGTCTCTGGAGGAGGGTGAAACCTAAAACGGATGAGTCAATGCCAATTTTAAACACGCCTGCCCCATTCACAGATAGTACAAGAATTTCCTAGAGATATTCTATGGATCCTTATGATTTTGTGGACATAATTTCAGAAACACTGGTCTAATTCCTTCTGTCACCCTTCCTCTTTCTTCATTTCAAGTTAGAAACCTGAAGCTTCTTGAAAAATATTCTTCAAAATCCAAGGTTTAGAACTATATATTTGGAAATTCCAATTTGGCAGGAGAGCTAGCTTGCAAGGTCTTGCATTTATTTCTTTTTACTTTCCCTCTTTAGAAAAAAAATAAAATTGTTAAAGAGGACTTAAAGAAAGAGTTCTTTTCAGATGTTCTGATTTTAATAGTTTTTCTAATGTGTCATTTACTGGGCACTTGCAGGGCATTGCTATTTAAGAGGTTGCTTAATTAAAACAGCATCCATCTCCCTCACCCCACTGCTCATTTTTCACTATGGAGTTGGCACTCATAGTCCTTCCAATTTTTTTTTACACTATAGTTATAGCTGCCTTAAATAGAAATACTGTGAAATCCTATTGTTTTAATATAACACAAACATCACTGATTATGGCCTCCAATATTACTGATGTAGGGAATCTGATTTGATGCATATCTTCTATGGCCAACAGTTAGCTATGATTGCCCAACTGCAGATGACTACAGAATATTATACCACATCTCACAAAACAAATAATTTTTAGTATAACAATGTAATACACATTATGTTGGGCATTCAATTATTTTGAGTCCCATACAGCATCTGATTAGAAAGCATGAGCAAGAGAGGGAGTGGAAAAGTTACAGGAAATAGTATGGGAGACCTAGGATGTAATTAGAAAATGCAATCAAGTAAACACGCATGAGTTACACGTTACAAAGACTAATCTTGAAAAACAAAATTCACTATTATTTGTATTCCTAACACTAGAAGTAGAATTTGCTCATTGAATGGAAATTGAAATATTTATAGTAATGCGGAGTATGATCATAATCATTGAAGAAATGGTTTTTCCCCCTTTTCCCACCCACTACCAGCCCTAATCCCATCAGACTCAGTGGAATAGGAAGATCAGAATGTTTATAGATAATATGTCTAATACAATGAGTCTTCTCTATCTTATTCTTAGACACTCCAAATAGTATTATCAAGTGTTGGCTTCTCCTTCATCAAAGACATGGTTGAGCTTTATGACTGTGCTGATAAAATCGCCAAGTTCTACAAAATCAGCAGTGACAATATTGATGCCACTTTCTCCTGGCTTCTGCGTGCGGACCCATTGCATCATGGCTGGAAGAGCTCTGAGAAGGAAAACAAAAAGAGAAGTCACAGATGGCAAAATATTGACTTTCAAGCTCTACAATTTTTAAGCTTTCTTTTAGTTTTCTAATTTACTAAAATAAATCTCCCAAATATAAGGACAGATGAGGGAAAAAAGTTAAATGTACAATGGTGAATTCTTAGCCTTTGAGGCCACTCTGCCAGAGCAAACTCTTCATCTTTGAAGATCTCAGATACTGTGATAGTTTATAATGAAGCTTTTCCACTAAGAAAGCAACATTTTTGCCTTTGTATTCTAGCTTGCCTTGCAAAGCTATGAGGTGGTAAGCTAAGAGATGAATACATATAATTGAAGCAAACATTTACTGTAAAAGCATTATTTTCAGAAAATGTATTAAGATGTTATAAATAGACAAAACAGCAAACACCCCCACCTTCAAGAAGTTCACAGTTTGGTGGCAGACAGGTAGACAATGAAGAAAATTGTAATATAGTACCATCAGTGCTGTTTCCTTCAATTCCATAACCCAGCACCATGTTCCAGTCCTGATTATAGGAACTTGGAACATTCAGAAGAACAAAACCAAAAAATATCTGCTCTTATGAGCTTACATTCTCAAAAAGAGAAACAGAAAGTAAACGATAATCATAAATAAATTATAAATCGGGACCAGAAGGAATAATTAGAACTACAAAAAAGGAGCAAAGAAAGGAGGATTTGGAGTGTGCAGCTGGGGAGGTGTAGTGCAAATTGCAACTTAAATTAGGACAGTTCACTATATTTACTGCAGCACAATTCATAATAGCTAAGCTATGGAAACAGCCTAGGTGCACATTAAAAGATGAATGGGTTAAACAAAAAGGTGAGTGGGTAAAGAAAATGTCATGCATACAGATATTTATACATATGCATATACATTTATTTCAGGTATGAAGAAGAATGATATATTGTTAGAATAGATGAAACTGGAGAGCCTTATGCTGCATGGAATGTTGTCAGACTCAGAAAATAAATATCACATGTTTTCTCTCAAATGAGAAATACTGAAAAATATTTTAAAAATTTAAAAATAGAGATTATATAAAAGTAGAAAGGAAATTATTAGAAACTATTAGAAAAGAAGAGGGGAGTGGGGAGGGTGAGAATGTTACATGTGTGTATGAACATACTAAAATAAAACCCACCCATCTTCATAACTAATATGCATGAATAAAAAATAGAGTGATTTAGTAGAACTCACTGATAAGTGGATATTTGTGGAAACATTTGACATTGAAGGGGGATGGAGACACATAGACCAAGAAACAGAAAAGAAGGCTACAAGTACTCATGGGTCTACAACTAACTGACTTTCAAGAAAGGTACTAAAGATGAGTATTGGATAAAGGAAAGCCTTTCAATAAATGGTGCTGGGGAAACTGGATATCCACATGTAGACGAATGAATTTCTGTTTCTGTCTCCCAACCAGTTACAAATATTACATAAAATTGATTAAAGACCTAAATGTAAGACTTGCAATAAGAAACTAGAAGACTTTTGTAGGACAAGCACTTCAAGATATTAAAACAGACAATTTTTGGAAATGATATCATTTATTTGATTTATTGTTTGGAAGCAAACAGACAGATGAAGTCACACCAAACTAAAAACAGCTACACAGCCAAAAAAAAAAATCAACAGAGCAATGAAACAACCTACAGAGTAGGAGGAAACATTTACAAATTTTAAAACTGAAAATGGGTTAATATAAACATATATGAAAAATCCAAATTCATAGCAAAACAACAAATAATTTGATTTAAAAATAGATAATAGATCTAAACAAACATTTCTGAAAAGAAGACATATAAATGGCTGACAGATACATGAAGCTATGCTCAAAATCACTAATCATCAGGGAAGTGAAAATAAAAGCTACAATCAGATATTATCTCACTACAGTGAGAATGGTTGAAGGTAGGTCATATGCTTAACATGTGTGAGGCCCCAAATTCAAACCCTAGAGGACACACGCACACACACACACACACACACACACACACAAGGAGAAGTGCTGGCAAGCATGTGGAGAAAAATGAACACTTGTACATTATTGTGGAAATTTAATTAGTACAGCCATTAAGGAAAAAAGATGGAGGTTTCTCAAAAATTAAAATAGCTCCAAATGAATTTTACTATTGTTTTCTCTAATTCTGTGAGGTATGCTATTGGCATTTTGATTCAGATTGTATTAAATCTGTATTACAATTTTGGTAGAATGGCCATTTTCATGATATTGGTTCTTTGTACCCCAAAACAAGGGATATCTTTCCATATTCTGATATCCTCTTCTATCTCCTTTTTCAAAGTACTGTAGTTCTCAATGTAAAGGCCTTTTACTTCCTTTGTTAGGTTGATTCCTGAGAACTTCATTTTTTATGCTATTGTGAAAGGTATAGTTTCCCTAATTTCTCTCAATGAGCTTGTTATTTGTGTATAGGAATGCTATTGATCTTTGAATGTTGACTTGGTATCCAGATATGTTATTGAATTTGGTTATCAAATATAGAAGTCTTTTGCTAGAGTTTTTGGAGTCTTCTATGTAGAGTATCATATCATCCTCAACTTCTTCCTTTTCTACTCTTGTCTAATTGCTCTGGGTAATGTTTCCAAAACTATACTGAACAAGAGTGGTGACAGTGGACATCCGTGTCTTATTCTTGCCTTTAGAGTGAAAGTTTTCAGTTTTTGTCCATTTACTATGATGTTGACTTTTGGTTTGTCTTAGGTGGCTTTTATCAGATTGAGATGAAGACCATTTATAACAATTCTCTGTAGGGTTTTTATCATGAATGGGTGTTGGACCTTGTCAAACACTTTTTCTGCATCTTTTGAGAGGACTATGAGGTTTTTGTCCTTAGCCATGTTAATATAGTGTATTTATTGATTTGCATATGTTGAACCATTCCTGCATCCCTGGGGTGAATCCAACTTGGTCATGGTGTATAACCTTTTTGATGATTTGCTGTATTCTGTTTGCCAATATCTTATTGAGGATTTTTGCAACTATGTTCACTACAAAGATTGACCTGTAGTTCACCTTTTTGGTTGGGTCTTTCTTTGGTTTTGGTATCAGAGTATTACTTGCTTCCAGGAATAAGTTTGGGAGTATTCCTTCCCTTTCAATTTCATTAAAGAGTTTGAGGAGTATTGGCATTAGATCTTCTCTAAATTTCTTATAGAATTCAGCAGTAAATCCATCAGAACATGGGGTTTTCTTTGTTTGTAGGTTTTCTGGAATAGCAAAAATAATTCTGAGCAACAAAGACAAGGCAGAAGGCATCACATCCCTGATTTGAAATACTACCATGATAAAAAGAAAGCATGCTATGGACTATTGACAGAAAAACAGGCCTGAAGACCAATGGAACAGACTATAAGATACAGAAACAACTCTAAACACACTTAGCCAATTTATCTTTGACAAAGGGGCCAAACCCCTTCATTGGAAGAAAGATAGTCTCTTTAATAAATGATCCTAGTAAAACTGGCTTCCCACATGCTGAAGATTAAACCTATTTCTCACCATGCAATAAACTAAAATCAAAATGGATCAAAGATCTAAATATTAAAACAGAAACAATAAATCAGAAGATAGAATAGGTAGAACTCAGTCATGCCCACCGGCAAGCAGCTAGGCCTGTGGGCTTCTGGAGCCCAGCTCCTTCTGGCTCATAACACCCACCTGAAACCCCTGCCCCCCCGCCATCTCTGGCCTGGCTGTGCTGCTACCTGGCTGCATACTACAGAGGTACGGGGGGGCATAAAGGCCATTGTCCTGAGCTGCAGAAATGAACAACAGTTAGAGGCCCTCTCTCAGGCTATTTGATGAAAACTGAAGCCCACTGGAAAGTGAAGAGAATCTCTGCAATAAAGGCACATGAGACCATTGTACTTGGTAAGTTGGAGGGATCATCACCTCCCATCAGAACCTGGACTATCTTCAGGGGAAGGGCAACTGGAACCTGCAGTAGAGCCTTGCAGACTTCAACCCTGCGGGAGGACAGGGAGCTCAACTTGGGACTTGTAGAAAGAAATCTGCCTGAATTTCACGGGTCTACGACTGACTTGCTAAGACTCATTTACCTAGATATGCACACTGCTGCCCACATAGTCTATTGTGACTGTAGAGACATACCCTGAAGGAGGCCCCTCATTTGTATCTTTTATTTGTTATTTTCAAAATTATTATTAGTATTTTTTGCTCTTATTTTTAATTTTTATTTTTCTCTACTCTTTTCAAATTTTTATTTTTCTCTTTTTTCATTCTTTTTTCTTTCTCTCTCTCTCACTCACTCCCTTGCTGGGCTACATGGTTCTTCAACTCCATTTGTATTCCTGTTCTGGCCCTAATTCATATTTCTTCCTTATTTTTCTTTCTTTCGCCTGTGTCCTCTGGCCTCACTGCCAAACTTCCCCTATCCTTCTACCTACCTGTCCCTTCCTCCCCAACTTCTAACTTCCCATTCTGAAGAGTAAAGTTGCTATATTGAAGAGTTTATTCACTATAAACATATGTTAGGTTGGTCCTTGATTTTGATTTAATTCACACAGTTAAAGGTGATAGATTATAACTACGACAAATTGTCATTTTCTAAGATGTACTTGATGCTATGGTGTTGCTGATTGTATTACTTGTGCTAATGTGTTGTGATTGATCTAATCAGTTGTCCTTTCTGGTATAATGAAAATGAGACAGCTTCAGAGTCATTAGAGATTCAAAACCTAAAGACCAGCTATATCTGGAAAACACCTCTGAGAAGGAATCATTCCATAAGGGTTCTAAATACAAGCAACAAAGATACTTACAATAAGCAACTTCGGAGTATCAACCCATGAATTAAACCAAGGACAATACCAAAAACAAAAAATGAGAAGACATTTAAGCAAGGCACAAACTCAGACTTCCACTCTACAAAAGGCAAATTCTGGGGGAAATGAGATGGAAAAGTCTGATAATCAACTACCTGGACACCCTGAACTGATAGCACAGGAAGTAACAAAACAGATGAGTGAGGCTCTAGAAAAATTCAAAGCAGAAATAATCTCCCAGATAACTACAGAGATGGTAAGGAGAGTGAAAGACATGATTACAGCCTGTAGAACAGAAACAGATAAGAAGAATAGATGAGCTCAGAAACATGCTGGAAGCCATGAATGTCCAGCATAAGAAAGAAATGGAATCTATGAAACAGATTCAAATGGATATTGAGGAGATTAAAAAAATCCATTGAAAGCATGCAGGGCAGATTAAGGAAATGTGAAGATAGAATATCAGATAGCGAAGACAGGATTGCAGTTAAGGACCATGAAAACAGAGATTTCTTCAAAATAGTAAGGGACCACAAGAAATCAATCCAGCAGCTGCTAGATGATGCAAAGAAGAATAACATAAGACTAAAAGGAGTTCACGAAACAACAGGAGAATATACAACTGACATTAAAAAAAATGTTCACAGGTAATAGTAGAAAATTTCCCAGACAGAGGTAGAGAAATGGACATACAGATAAGTGAGGCATATAGAACTCCAATTAGCCACAATAAAAAAAAAATCTACACTTAGACATAACAGTCAAGATCCCAGAAACCCAACAGAAGAACAAAATCCTACAAGCAGTTAGAGAAAAGAAACAAATCACCTACAAAGGAAAGCCCATCAGAATCATGGCAGACTTCTCAACACAAACCCTCA